TGCAACATGTCTGCGGCATGTATGCCCATTGCTAGACGTCAGTATAAACTGTCACTGCAGACATCGTAGCAGTATGACTGAAAAAGTGTTAAAAGCTACGTTAAAAATCCAAATCACACACGCAGGATCAAATATACACGGGTCTCTAATGTAGTCGAAATCAGTAAGATTATAAAAAAAAATATTGGACATCCGATCGGCACTATTTTGCTTAGAACCACACTAGACAGGAGTCTTTTTCTCAAAGTCTGATTTTTATATGACTATCCATTCAGGAGGAATAGCGACAAGATTTTAAAGACTGGATGCTTGTGAGTCATGTTGGATATCTGGGCATTTGGTTTGAATGAACGTATGTGTTTCAGTCTGACTAAAATCAGATCTATAGTTCTAAGCAGAGCTTTGATGATATGAAGTCTTATTCTAATAGCCTTTTGAATCACCAGTCAAATCGTAACTTTCAAATTTCTGAAAGGGACGCGTCATTCCGACCTTATCATTACTATCTATAACTCGGTAACGAATTTGCAATCTTTTATGCGATCAGCTACTTAAAAAAAAATCGTGGGAAATCCACGTTACAAAAACATGAACTTGTATCAGTGAATGTCACAGGACTGGAATTGTAGTTTGGGATGAATAGTGACATTTTTAAATTAAAAAAAAAAAACGTACTAGAGGATGGCTGGCGGACGACGATCAAGAGGCCATTAAATCATATTCTGGAAGATGACTAATAGAGCTAAAAATAACCTTAGTCAACTGATTAAAAGCGTTCAGCAGAAGCTCGATGTTGAGCCATAAATTTCAGCAAACGGATCATTTATCATACACTTTGATATAGACTGGAATGTTTTAAAAAATATCAAACATAATAACATTTCTGCAGCAATACGAATGCCTGAGTGCTACCTCCATTTGCAAGATAAACAGCCCCTCCCCCCATAAATAATGCAAAAGCATACGTTTTCCAGAGCAAATTTTCTCAACAATATGGTTAAAATTGTTCTCTGGAAACCCATAAAACCCCACTATCAGTTTTATCCATGGACCCATCATTGAAACAACTTTATTATCTCTCTAGTCGGGAAAGCTAATTCTAGGGCAAGTGAGACGATCCAAAATGTGACACACCCAATATTATGCGAGACGTCTGTTTGGTGATGCTGTTTGCAATAATTGCAACGTCGGTTACTTTGAATTCCTAAGTCGTTGGATAAAACTATATATAGAGAGCATCTGCGTTGTTGGAGCAGATAAAAAGAAACATTTCACGAAATGGAAACACTGCACTCACCTACTGGGGAAAAAATTGATCCTTTTTTAAGCATAGTTTTTTAAAAAAAAAAAAAAAGAAGGCAAAAGCCGTTGATTTGCATAGAGTTGTTTCTCCGTTCTGTGCCAATTCAATTAATAGCAGAATTACTACCTTGATGAGAAGTTTAACATCAGTAATACGTTAGGTGTTCAGTTGTTTACCTTACCTTTACCGGAATGGAACAAGAACCCAGAGTGACCTTGTGGTCCTAAGCGCCCATCGTTAAGGTTCACTGCCATTTCACCTGTCTGCGTGGGTTCTATTCTTGGGTTTAGCCAGTGTGGGTAAATGAAAAAGCTTGCCGGTCGCCTCTCGTAGGTCGGTGTTTTTTTCCCCTGGTTCTTCATCCACCATTTATACTGGCCGCCATGTATAGCCTATCTTGTGCTGAGAAATGGTGTTAAACCCTATAACAACAACTGCAATGAAACAAAAACCAAAACAAAACATAACACTTATCTGTGCTGGTGCACCATCCTCCTATTATTGAAGCTCTTAGAATACATCAACTGAGGCTGACATATCAAAATTAAATAATTTTCGCTTGAGAGGAAAACTACCTATCATCAATGGTTTATTGCTGTTCAGGGCTTTGAATGCATATCATCCGTGTATATTATCCCTCAGTACAATTATTTCGATTGTCCATGATAGTAGTTTTTAATGTTTTGGTCACAACAAACCCTCGACACTCTAGTCCTCTCTAGGAAAGGGAAAACGTGTAACAAGTCAAAATTCGTTGTTTACGGTTAGTACAAGACTTTGAGATAAAGGTACAGTTGGATCAACCTTAGTTATTATTACACATTTTTTAAAACATTAAGTTCAGATCTCTACTGTCCTGTGTAAAAATCTTACAGCGACCGCTTAGAGGTTATGTTCTGGTGACATTTAATTAGCCAACATAAGTGTAGATTTCAGAAATCTGAAAGTGAATCAAATCGTTCGGTACACCGATGCTCTTCAGCCGTAGTGCTCAGTCGCAGAAACGCGAAAACATAACACTTCGTGTGATTGGCAAATAAAATTGGTGATTATGGTAATAACGTCACTAGAAAATGATCCCTAAACGGTCGCTGTAGGATCTTCACGTCGGACAGTGGAGATCTGATTTTAATCAGCAATTTTTTTTTTTTGCAAACAAAAATTCTTTTCAGAAATTGTTATTACAAATAGCACAGAGAGTGAGCAAAATAGGCTCCATGTCTTTAAAGTACAAAATATTAAGAACAAAACATCTACAATTTGCTGTTTATGGTCCGACGGTGTAAGGGACCTCAACGAAACTAGTACGTATCAAAGGTGGAAAGAAGTACACTCTCCTTCTGAATCCAGGAGAGGTCAAAAGTTTCCACATTAGAGGAGGAAAGCGCTTATATAGAAATTGAGTGCGTTTTCCGAATTCAAGAGGGAAAGGCAGCCAATTTCCTGACAAAGAGTATGTGCAAGATGGGAGGTTTCAACACTCGCTCAGAGTTGTGGCTAAAAAAATGATCAAGAACGGTGCTCCCCTTCCCCCTCCACTGACTATAAGAAGGAATGAGTACAGCAATTTCCGAAGCACGAGGAAAGACTTACTCCCAGAGGGAGTAAATCAACACCATTGCGTGGAAACGAATTCCTACCGTCGTCGGGGATGGTTTACATTCTACGAATACACGAAACCAGGCTGAACAGTTCGCTTAACTCCGATAGGGTTATGCGGTGTTTAAACTCAATTGGTTCAGGAGAGCATTTCTCCCACATATATGATTTGCCATTAAATTCCAGTGACCGATCAAAGGTCACCGGTTACTAACGACCGAACTTGATCTCAGTCTCCGATAATGATACATGTTACCATGTACCAAACACTGGTCACCTAGGTACAGGTCACAGGGCACCTGTCAAAACATCAGTCGAATCTAGGCATGGAGTAGGTGATCGCGTCTATCTCGTGCTCTACCTTTCTTGACATCAATAATAGAGCCTGATGTTATGCACTCTACTGAGAAAGGAAATCAGACCGATCTCCGCTATTCCCGATTTCCCACTTTCCCATTTCAAGGAAGAAATCTTATCATCATGCAATACAATGATTGGCCTCTGTATAACCTTCTAGCAGTAAGGTTGTTGACAGAATGAGTTCACCACCTGCTGTTTGAGAGGAGAGTTTCAGACCAAAATCCGCTAAACAATCCATAAACGGGCACGAAACTTTGTAGCCTTTCAGAACAGACAATTCTAAAGGACTGTCCAATCACTCCCCACAAGGAGTCACGGGACGCTAATGTTTCCACTTCCTGGGTTTTCCCGATGAGGGATTGTTCCTGTTCTTAAAGTCCTGCACCCATCAAGGGTTAGGATGAGGACTCTGCTGTTCTTTCTATACTTTCAGATTCTCATTAATTTGCGGAGTTCATCCTCGCCTCGTAGGATATCCTAACCCAGTGATAGATAGGTTCCTTTGAAAGGGCGATAAACGAAGTTTGGAAAGACTTTCAGGAGCCGTTTCCAGAACTGATTTGCTCTTACTCGCATAATTAAGCTTGCACTGCATCTTCCAGGTCCGGACACAATCTACATCTAAAGTCAATGTAATAAAGTGGAGTCTCTTTGTTGCACTAGGAAACGCGTCAATCCTATCTTTCATTCTTTCTTTCCGGTAGCAGATTTTCTACTCTTCCTCCTCTTGTTTTGCCTCCACAATAAAAAAAAATTATAGGGCAACCCTTCAAACACACTTTAATTCTCCAAAGATCGTGCCATTGCCTCAGTTCCTCACTACGCGGTTCTTATTAGGTTCTTTGAGTTGCTGAGCCCGTGTCACGTTCATGTATGACTAATGGAATTTTTCCTGTGTTTTGTGAGCCTTGACAAAACCCCCTTATAAATAACTTGAGTGAAACTCGTTTGAATATTGTGTAAATACGACAACTATTATAAAGAACAGTTGAAACTAGGTTTATTTAGCAGTTGTTGTTTCTTACCCACTCTCTTAGGGTACGCTGAAGTATACTTCTTTAACAAAACAAATAAAAAGAATACATATTGAAAAGTGTTTAGCTAGCATCATTTCATTCAAAGCTCTTGTCATCTTTTTAATCTATATCAGTATTCCCTGCTTCCACCCAATTCCAGGCAACTGAAATGTAGGACAAAGGACATTAAAACATGTCCATATGCTTGTGTGGGAATTTGTTTTTAAGGAGTTTGTTGACTTCCATTGGAACGAAATTACCTTTTTAATAAGCGTACACTACTGTTGTTTAGCAGTAGGTTGTGTAAAAAATACAAGTTTTTACAAGTTTAGCTTGTACATATAATACTTCAAATTTGTGTAATTTTTCAAATTAAAGGGTGTTTCCGTGCGAAAATTACTGTTTTATATATTACCGTTAACATATTTCTTGCGCGGAATGATCCAGTCAACATTGTTAGAGTAGAGGTAGCGTAAAACAATACAGAGCAGTCGCATCCAACAGATTTATGATCGTAATAACCTTAGAGAAAAGGTATTGTGAATTTTTTCGTTAGGATTTTGGTGTTTGTTTAGTTTATATTTCTGCATTTAAACGTGAAGTTTATTTGGCTTTGGCAAGCTTACAGCCTAGTTAGGCAACAGACTGCATACAATTTCGATTTTCATGTAATTTTAGTTTGCAATCAATGCTCATCGATGACCGATATACATCGTTTTCTAGACCTCTTCGGTGGCCTAGTGGTCAGAGCGTCCGCCTCGGATGCGGGAGGTGGTGGGCTTGATCCCCGGCTGAGTTATACCTAAGACTTACAAAAATGGTACTAACAGCTTCCTCGCTTAGCGCTTAGAATTAAGAGGTTAGTGTTAGGACTGGTTGGCCTGGTGTCAGAATAATGTGACTGGGTGGGACATCATGCTACATGTCTGCGGCATGATGTCCAAGTGCTAGACATCACTATAAACTGCCACACTGCAGACATCGTAGCGATATGACTGAAAAACTGTTAAAGCTATATTAAAAAATCATAATCACATCACATATATCCTTTTCAAACAAATTTGTGATCGAGGTGAAAGTTAAAATCGCTACTGAAACGAATTGACTATATTTACTTAGAAGTGTTTCCTAACACTGTGTCGTACAATGTAACAGGTATCCGATACCAGGTGGGCGATACATAATATTGAATAGAACAGGTCGTGAAAGTTCAGTCACTAAAAGTTAGCGTGTTTTATATGGAACTCATAAATATAAAGTTTATACCTTGTGTTGTCTGGAATTAGTTATTAGGCGTTTCTTCATGGTGCCTTCTCAATGATTACATAAATGTATTCTGGATCCTGGAGCGTCTACAGGCTTAACAGATTTCAAACTCTGTGTATATATATATATATATATATATATATATATATATATATATATATATATATATATATAGAGAGAGAGAGAGAGAGAGAGAGAGAGAGAGAGAGAGAGAGAGAGAGAGAGAGAGAGAGAGAGAGAGAGAGAGAGAGAGAGAGAGAGAGAGAGAGAGAGAAGGGGGGAGGAAGGGAGAGAGAGTTGCTGTAAATACAATTTTCAATAACATTCGATATAACATATTTAAAATAAATGGTATTATGTATTTCCATATACGTATTTTATGTATTTTGTAATAATTTGCATCTGTCAGGTTTTTTTCTTCCATTATGCTGAAAACTATGATCAGAATCGCTACGTACTTGTCCATTTCTGCAACTGGATTAACTGCACTATGCATATCTTTGTGCACGTGTGCATTTAGATTCGCACTACAGTTATTTATTTGTTAACAGTTTGTGTTATTGTTGTTGCTTCGGTTTAACGCTATGTTTCAACACATGATGAGGTATGGCGACCAGTATAACTTGTGGAGAAAGAGCTCGGGAAGAATCAATGACCGACTGAAAGCTACTAGCAAATAATTTCACGTGCCCACATTGGCCGAACCCGAGACTCGAACACAAGTGGACAGAGGTCAGATGACAGGGATCGGTAAAGGCGAGCGCTTTAGACCGCTCGGCCAATTGGGGCCTCTCTTTGGTAGTAACTAATCTTATATATTTTTTGAATGACATTAAGTTCTCGTCGTTCATCTTTACATTGATTTAAATATATTCACGTTAATATAAATTTGGAATAAAAAAACTTTTTGAAAAAAAAAAACTGGTGCACTCTGCTTTCTATTAAGAATGCATTAATTGATAAAGATTTTGATAAATTCCCAAGCCGTATGACGTAATAGTTTCCAAAGATTACATGTCATTCCACGTATTTATTCAACAAATATTCGTCATTAAAATGCCATTTCATTCAAAAGATTTCATTTTTATTCAGGAATTGCAATTAAAAACGTTCATGGAGGTGGTATATAATAAATAACTTAAAACATTTGTATTGATGTGTATTGTGCAAGTTCACTCGTTTGTACTTAAGTACCCACGCTATCCAGCAGTACAAACACTATAATCTATAATTATCTGTCATTTGAATTTGTTTAGGCTTGCTAGCTGCTTCATATTCTTTCGTCGTATTAACTAGTTTTATCGACGTACAAAATGTACCTCGTGGTATTTTCTGTATTAAATAATACATTTTCACAAGCCAGCCAAGAGTGTTTTGTGTTGTATATTATGTTGTTTGCGTGTCAGCCTACAACTTTTCTAATTTCTACTCAGTATCCTTATTTAAATACGATAATAATAATAATAATAATAATAATAATAATAATAATAATAATAATAATAATAATAATAATAATAATAATAATAAATAAACAAATAAATAAATAAATAAATAAATAAATAAATAAATAAATAAATAAATAAATAAAACTCTTGTCTGGAACACTTTATTTAAGATGGGGATGCAGCTTTTTAAATGTGGTTGTTTGTGTGTATTTTAGGGACAGTGTTCGGTGAGTTATGATGCATTGATGCTGATCCGAAAATGAAATCTGTGACACATCACACAGTGCTTTGTTTACAGTGTAGGTTCTCAAAAAACGGCCAGATAACCTATGACCATCTTCGAAGGTATTATAAATTAATATAGGATTTATTAGGCTGTGGTCAGAGTAGAAGTTCAGTACTAAGAAACAAATGCAGACACTATATAAAAAAAATTGTGATCTGTTTCCGTGTGTGTCAGTGGCGACGATTTACATCTGAAGATTCTTTCTGGACATAACGGAAAATGCGGAGGATGTTTTCATTGCCATTGTTATTGACAAACGGGAAAACAGCATGTTAACTAAAGCTATGGAAAAACAGATGTATTCAGCTTTTTATTTTAATTTTAAATAGCTGATGATTACGTGGAAATAGTTAATATTGAATAAATAACGGTTATGTTGTATGAAGGAGTCGTCACGTTAGATTTGTCAAGCAGGATTGATTTCCGCTCAGCCAGATTAAAATCAGATCCCCAGTGTTCTACATTTATCTCTGACAATGATTGCTTAGGGGTTATGTTCTGGTCACGCTAGAATTAGACAATGTAATTTTAAAACAAAAAAAATCTGAAAATTAATCAAATCGTTCGGCACACATTGACGTTCTTTAGCCACACTGCTCAGTCTCTCAAAACCAAAGATATAAGACTTCACTTGATTGGGTGATAAAATTAGCGATTGTGGTATTAACATATGTCACCAGAACATGACCCCAATGCGAACGTTCGTATTATGACCATGCTTCTAAAAAGTGTTTACAACAAAAAAAAATCCAATAAAAATATAAAATCGACAGTTTGGACCACTATGACGATGTACCAGTTCCAATTCAAAGCTTGCTTGGAATCATTGCATTAGAACGCAAAGTTGCTTAATTAAAGAAATCACAGCCAGGCATGAAACAATTCAGGGGTTGCTTCTACAACGATGGAATGGAGTTTACAAACAAATCCATTGCAGTTGCATTCCCCGTTGATTATGTTGCACCAATATCGACTCGGTAAAATCTCAGTCGTTGTTATGCAATAAGGCACTTGTCCGTGTAGCAGTTTTGCGTCAAACACGAGGATGATCGTTTCATCAACTATTCACTGTTGGTATTTGTGTTAAAAATCTTTGTGCTAGTTTGATTCGATGGTTGATTGACGTCCAGACATGAAGGGACATAAACAAGACACTGCCAGACATGAATAGACTTAACGGGATACTGAATATAAGTATAATGCATTGATTTTTGTATAAACCAAAAATAGTCTTTGTGTGTGTGTGTGTGTGTGAGAGAGAGAGAGAGAGAGAGAGAGAGAGAGAGAGAGAGAGAGAGAGAGAGAGAGAGAGAGAGAGAGAGAGAGAGAGAGAGAGAGAGAGAGAGAGAGAGAGAGAGAGCAGGTAAAAATGCTCTGATTGTCTTTTTTAATCAGTGGGATCAGGCTATTGACCACCACCACCATCACATCACTCCACACACAGGTGTGTGTGTGTGTGTGTGTGTGTGTGTGTGAAAATGCGTTGATTTTTTTTTTAAAAAAAAATCTAATTGGACCATATCAGTGTGATTGTGATAGTAAACCCCTCCTATACTTATTTATGGCCGGTTTACTGGTTTTGGCTTCGTATTTAGGAGTGACCTCCAACAATGAAATTTCCCCTGTATCAAATAAAGCTACTACAAGTAGGGATTTTTTAATGGAATAAAGAGGTACATATAGAACAAATAAGTCTAGTCCCCCCCGTTGCAATTTTAATGGAATAAAGAGGTATATATAGAACAAATAAGTCTAGCCCCCCGTTACAATTAAAGGCAAAAGCTAATAAAATTTCAAACAATAAAAATTTCCTCGAGTAAATAATATGAGTTACATTTTGAAAAATACCTTCTTTCTTTACGTATTAACTAATTAAGGAAATTCAAAAATACAATGACATTATAAGATTAGCCGATTCAGTTTAAGATAGAATCCAGAATCATCATTTACGAGTCCGAGTATATCGAATAACTCTGCCTTGCATCAATGCATAACATGTTGACTGATTCTGTCCCACAGTTCCTCTTAGACCGTACTTCGGTTCCTTTTTTGCAGAAATTCCTCACTATACTTCAAGGCTACCATAACACATACTAAATTCGTTCTGATAGTTCCAACTACTTCCGTAAAATCAATCATCAATTCATCCATGACTATAAATACAATATTGTCAGCTAAATGAACTCAACATAGTTATTTCGGATACATAATTCAGTATATAGAATAAGCATGAATTCAACATACTCAATTCCTACGATAATAAAGACTATAACTTAGTAAATCGCCAACGCATATATAAAAGCAAATATCGTTGCGCGGGCTCAGATAAACAACTAGACACACGTATACCATATCAAGAAAATTAATCTACAACTCAAGAAATAAATTCCTGCAAATACATGCTTCTACAAGCAATTAAGTCATATCATAAACGACGGATAAAAATTTCTGCAAATACAAGTACCTACAAGCAATTAAATCATAGCATTAAAGAAATATAAAAGATGTATGCACTTACCTCATTTTTCATGCTTTTGGTGTCTTTCGAATCCTTCAGACAAGCGTCTCTCTCTCTCTCTCTCTCTCTCTCTCTCTCTCTCTCTCTCTCTCTCTCTCTCTCTCTCTCTCTCTCTCTCTCTCTCTCTCTCTCTCTTGGATATAATTTTGATTAACAAAAGCTTTGCTAATTCAAATCCCCGGAGTCTACCGTTATTTATTCTTTCTCTCTCGCAGAGAAATGCAAACTAAAATTTCAAAATCCCTACAGTACATTTAAACTAAAGGTTTTCGTTTTAAACTACG